AGTTTTGGGTGAGCCTTAGGCCCAGTGAATCCACGGTTTTCATGCATGAACGACAACTTTTATAATAAACAATTTTCACGAAACTTCATAAATTAGCATGCCTTGATAAGAATAACACTTTTCACAAAATAACGATATTATAGTGCGTGTCTACATCACAAAGCAACAGCGTCGTGGGAGATGTCTACCTCACACAGCATTAYHTRRCGRACTCACACAGCATGTCCGCACTTACGGCTTAGACAAGCTCACAAAGCATGCTCGTCTTTACAAAATCATATCGTAGTACATCCCCATCGACACACAAATACCCAAAACACATATTATAAAAATATCGAACTTTTCACGCATATATAACATATCAAAAAATAAGGCATGCAACCATTTTAAAAATAAATCACGTGAAACTCACCATACAGGTCATAACTCCAAACCGTTYCTCGAAGTTCCTCGTGTTCTCTCAAAAACACGCATCAAACTTGTTGCACTTCACCAAACTATCCTCATCTTTCACCTCTCTTATACGAGGTTCTTGCCCCGAGAATTTTGTCATCTCTATGCTTGAAGACCTCCCCATATATATACTAAGTCATCGGCGGTYTCACAGAATATGAAACGATAAGCCATAATAAATGGTCGTAGGTTTCATGACCATTGAGTTTCCCGTCATTAAATTGCATTCAATTTATTTATTTATTATTATTATATTTTTTTTTNAGCCATAATAAATGGTCGTAGGTTTCATGACCATTGAGTTTCCCGTCATTAAATTGCATTCAATTTATTTATTTATTATTATTATATTTTTTTTTTGGGTTATTACAAAATAGCTCTTTATCTCTCCTACTTTCTCTATTTTGGAGATAGTTATGGGAAAGCTATTGAAACAAAATATTAACTCAAAATACTCATTTTCTTCATTTTGGAGAAACTGTTAGAGATGCTCTAGGAAAGATGAATGATTTTTCATTTTTTTTTTCTACTGATGAGAATTCTTGAAATTAAATAGTTATATCATTTTCAATAGATTCTCCAAAATGAAAAAATAAAACTCAAAATCTCTATAGAAAATTATATCGAACTCCAACAGAATTTTCATTTTAAGGATTACAACATTAACTATATTATTAAAATTACTGTATATATGTAATAAAATATTATTTATATCTCATAAACATTTAGGGGTGTTTAGTTAAAGATATTAAGCAATAATTAATGAAATGAAAACAAAAGAAACTTTCTGGTTTTCTATAATATAATAAGCTCATTTCTTCAGAAGCCTAAAACTTCATTCTTGGCTATAAACTGGAAGGAATGAAAATTTATTCCTATTTTCATTCTCTGTCATTTTCATTTTCATTTCTCAACCTGAGCCAAACAAACCCTAAGTCTAAGATCGTGTGAGAAAAGAAGTTAAATTAAGAAATGTAAGAAGAGATATGGATCCTGATCACTTTTAATCTCACTTCGCTCAATTAATTTTGCTTCTCACAGGAATTACATGGTGCATCTCATTAATGTTGATATTCAATTAATATTGATTTAAGGATGAATATCTCTTTTTACCTTTTTTGTTTCTCTCATGGTAATTATTTTTTGGAGGTTTTCCAAATTCAGCATATTTTCTCTCATACTTTCTTCATTTTAGAGAAAATTTTGGTGAATATGTTGGAGCAAAATTTTGCTCAAAATCTTTATTTTCTCCATTTTAGAGAATATACTTTTGAAAGAGAAAAATAATATTTTATAAATTATATTGGATATTTTAAAATTTTAATTAATATTGTGAACTTCAAAATATAATAATGAAAACGATCATAAATTTCTTTTAAGTTTTTTAAAATTTTTATTTTTAATTCTATATTTAACAAAAATATAATAATGAAAATGATCATAAATTTCTTGTTGATTTTGCAAAAAGAAAAACCTAATTAAAAGTAAAAATTACTCGTATTTAAAACCTAAAAACAAATAAAAAAAATCACAATATTATATCGACAATGATATGGTAAAAAAATTAAGAAAACCGTTTCACATAAGTTTAAAAAAATATCTACTTTAACGGTTTATAATTTAATGAATTTCTATTTTGAAGAAAAAAAGTTAAAGATACATATTTTGTCTGAGAGTATTAGATTCTTTAGCTGTTCTGAAATAAGTGTCTATATTTTTATTTTAGTTATTTTTAAATGGAAAAAGTCTAAAAAAACGAAACTCAATAGACTTTAGTGTTTGGAATAATTAAGTTTTTGGACAATTTTTTGAAACAAATAAGTCTTTGGACCTTCTAAAACTTGTTATATACATTCTTATGACCTATAAAACAAATTAACGTAGTAAAATAATGGAAAAAAAATGAAAAAAAGCTAATGAACAATCATATTTTGAGCGATAAAGTCCCTAAACATTTTTTGAACCAAAAAAATATTTATATTATATAAAATAAAACAAATATACCAAAAAAGTACTTACATTCAAAAAAATATTATTGATGAAATTCATTTAAATTATAAATAAAAAATATTATGTCAATGATTTTTCCAATTAAATAAAAATATTTAAAAAGGATTATTGATTATATTT